AATGTATTCTGGGCATAAATAAACTGGAATCAATCTTGTTTGCTTACCCTGGGCCCTAATATATTGATACAGCTATGTGAAGAGATGATGTTTGAGATTTCTATGGATTATATTAAATATTTGGGACTGTATATACCAGAAGATATTTCTACACATATGGAAATAAATATGTTGAAACTTTTAGAAAGGGTTCAAATGGATGTTAATAGATGGCTGAAGATTCCTTTAGGTATATGGGGTAAAGTTAATGTTATTAAAATGAACATTGTCCCTTACTTGTTTTATGTTCTTAGAGGCATTCCTATATAATATCAAATCAATCTTTCCTTTGGATTGATAGGTGATTTAGAAAATTGATTTTGGAAAGTGGACCACCAGGGTTTTCCTTAGCTAAATTAAGATTAACATTTGAGGAAGATGGTTTTAATGTATCTGTTCTGCAAAAATATCATTGGACTAATATTTGATCAGCCATCTGCTGGTGGAATGAAAATACAATGGAATATCCTTCATGGGCTAATTTGGTAAGTTACTCTCTATTTCCTTTCCAATCATGGAAAGTGCTTGGAGAAACCAAGAACAGAAAAAGTGTGTTACTTCCAGGAGTATGAGCAATGGGAAATCTTTGGGCCATATTGGGATGTAAAATGAGTTTTGATAATGAGACTCATGAATATCTATTTCTTTGGAAAATTTCTGAACATTGGTGGTAAATAATTTTATTGGAAAGCTTGGGCAGAAACTGGGATTATAACTTTAAATCAGCTATCAACGAATGACTATTTTAAGGATTTTTCTTGCCTTCAAATTGAATTGGGTCTTTCCAGTTCACCACCTTCAGCTTAACCATGGTTTAACGGATCAAGATGGATCAAATGCTTTGGCTGCCTTAAAGGCCTCTGTGTTGCATTCTTTCCATATGGAATCCACGACAGAAATAAAAACCTATCACATATCTTTATCAAAAGCTCAAGAATAATGTTAAGGTGGACATTTCTGGGATATTTCATTTATGGACTAAAGAACAGGAATTTCTGACAGAGCCACAGAAATGGCTTCAGGTTCTGAAAAATGTTAAAATGATATCAACAGATTTGAGATGAATGTTGATTCAGCCAAAAAATTGACTATAGGATGCTTAGATTTCCCAAAGAGTGCATTTGAAAGGATGGGTATTAGAGTTCTCATGCTGGAGATGTAAGAATTTTGGAGGCTCACTGACCTAAATGATATAATCATGTTATCGTTTAGTTTCTAAAGTGTATTAATGTATATTAGTAGATTTATGGGGAAACCTTTAAATGTAAAAAATGTTCATGTAGTGTTGAATTAGGTACCACAGCTTTGGAAGTTGACTGTTTATCAGGAACTGTGGTTGTATCGTGCATGGGGGAGGGGGGGTGGCAAAAAGAATGATATTAAGAAATTATAAAAGAGATATTATTCCAGATGTCAAGGAATGGTTGTTGGCAATGCATGATCTCTCTGTTGTGGAGAAGACAATATTCTCCAAATCAAAATTCTCCCAATCAAAGGATGCAGCAATATGGGTTATTAAGGCAGAGATTTTGCGATACCTTATAATAAGATCTTGTATTGTTCATATTATAGCAGTGAATTCCTTGGTAAACCAGTTTATAAGTATAAAAATAAGATAGATTTTTTTTCTTTTCTTTCCTAGTTCTCATGTTTCATGTTTTTTGTTTGACTTTTTTAAGATTAAAGATTGTTTTGTTATAAAATAGTTAAATTAATTTTAATTTTTTTTTAAAAAAACTCTTTTGTAAGCCTTTTTCTTTCATTGCCATTTTTTGTTCTTTTATATTCTAAGATATACAGGATCATACTGAATATCCTTGCCTTTATGTTCCCCAAGTAGCACCAATGATAGACCATCCATCCTTTCTACAGATCATCCAAAGTTTTACAAACTGTGGATTGTCTGTTATTATGCAAAAAGCACCACACATCTATTTGCCAGAATAGGAAGAAATTTGGAAGAAATTATCCTGAAATAGAGTCACATTTCAAGACTTTTGTCCCCAACCAGAGTCCTTCTATACAGCAACATTTCCATATCTGCTAGTTTCATTTCTGAAACTACCATTTGAATTGACTTATTCTCTCAAATCCAGGTTTACCTTTTGGTGCCCTCACTTTTAAGTAAAACTCTTAGAATGATAAAAATGATAAAACCTAGAACTGGAAGAGACCATTCGGGTTATTGAGTTCACTCCTCTGCTCAATGCAAACATTAAAATGTAATTATCCTTGGCCCATCTTTAAAAATCTAGCCTCCTCTGAAACATATCCATCTGTGCAGCTTGTTGGTTCTCTGTCAATGTGCTTTCTCTTGGATTTTCCGCCTCTAACACTTAATTGGAATCTGCCTTCCTATAACTTAAGTCCATATTTCTCTGTCCTGCTCTCAGAATTTAGAGAGAACAAGAGAGAGGAAGAGAGAGAGAGAGAGAGAGAGACAGAGAGAGAGAGACAGAGAGAGAGAGAGAGAGAGACAGTTCTTGACTTCCTTCTTGCATCTGCCATGGAGGAAGGTGTAAGCAAAGGATGATATGTGCATTTTGACATCATCACATAGAAGACACAACTGCATAATCTGAATAATTTCTTTGATGACATCATGAACCATGGTGTTTTGCCATCATGGTAGTGACTACTGGACACTGCCATGACATCCTGTCCAGAATTTATGTCAGCCCTTCAAAGGAGGCAGGTGAGGAAACAGATTCCACTACTTTGACTGGAAGTTTATTAATAGAGGGTATAATAAAGACCCTTGAAAGCTGACTGTGTTTGCCTTTCCTTCACTGCAAGGAATTAGGGTGGAGCCCATCTGAACTTCTTCCTCACACGTTCTGTTTCCCGGGATTAAAGGAGACTGTCCTTTTCTAACTGTTTCTACACAGTTTCTCCAAGGATATCTCTGTCCTCTCTACAAACTGAAGGTGACTATTGTATTTCCCAGTAAAGTTCATAGAGAACAATAATTGAAGATTTGTTTTATGTATCCATAAAAGACTATATTGTTGAGGACATAATTTTAACCAAGGGATATTTGAAAGGCCACTACCCCCTTAACCTCCTGGATATTTAAGATTCTATGGTTATAAAGGTTGCACAATTAATGGAGAAGAGGGGAAATTGTCACAAAAGGGTCCACTAAAATGTAAAACTTCAAATTCCTAATGTTTCCTGCCCCCAACACTTGCCAGAATCGGATCTCACCTATATGAGACTAAGATTATACTTTGCTTAATTTCTCCATTTTAATCCACATGAGAAGATGCAACAGGGGGAAGGGAAAATAATGATAAGAAACTGCCTCCAATTGATCCCTTCTCTGTTTGAGTGAGCCTGCAAGTTTTTGAATAATTAATAATATACAGAGAGCCCCATATCTTGGCATAGAGGTTAATATTTGATCCAAATAAGATCAGGAATAAGGTGTGTTATTCAACATCATAAATTGTAGGCACAATGGCTGGATACTCATGGGAAATTAAAGGCAAACATCCTTAGAGACTGTATCCCAACCTTCTGTTGGGAATCCCAAGATTCTGTAGAGAATCAGAAAATAAATTTTCTGTGATGCAATCTGATTTATTTTCCTGAAATGGCAATGAAAATACTTTTCAAGCAGCCTACATTTTTCCCCCCAACACATGATGTATCATTTCCCAAGGTTCTTGAAAGCACTCTTTTGATTAATTGATAGAGAGATGGAGTGAAAGGCAGTGGGAGAAGACAAGGCAGGTAATGAAGGAAGAACAAGTCAAGGGAATGGTGGAAAGATTTTCAGGTCCATATTTTATAGAACAAGCACATGGAGCAGAATTTCACTGCAGAAGTAACGATGATTTCCTAGCACATACACACATCCACCCCCACTGACAGAGAGAAACGTCTTGGCTCTTCTATTTGTAAAGCTCTTGATTTACTTACATGTCCATTATCTAAATTATAGATCACGTTTCTTATGGTATAGGGATACAGGCAAACAATCCATGATGGCAAAAAGATTGTGGAGAATCACCTGAGCAGGAAAAGCAGTTAACCCATCCATCAGTGCTGAGGTCTTGACTTGTTATTTCTATGAATGATTGGGCGTGTGGGTATGGAAATGTATTCCTTGTTTTTTTTCATAAAAGGGAAGGAGAAAATTCAGGTCATTCTGGGACAGTGAAGAGAAAGGAGTTGACCTAATATATTTTTCAAGCCATCTATATTCCT